CCGTCCTTGTCGCCTTTCTTGCTGTCCGTGTCTTCCTTCTTAACGGTCTTGTCGCCTTTCTTGCTGTCCGACTCTTCCTTCTTAACGGCCTTGTCGCCTTTCTTGCTGTCCGCCTCTTCCTTCTTAACGACCTTGTCGCCTTTCTTGCTGTCCGCCTCTTCCTTCTTAACGGCCTTGTCGCCTTTCTTGCTGTCCGCCTCTTCCTTCTTAACGGCCTTGTCGCCTTTCTTGCTGTCCGCCTCTTCCTTCTTAACGGTCTTTTCGCCTTTCTTGCTGTCCGACTCTTCCTTCTTAACGGTCTTGTCGCCTTTCTTGCCGACCGTGGGTCCTTCCAAATCGTCGTCGTCGTCGTCGTCTGGGGAGCGGAGTTGGACGAGGCCACCGCCGTTAGCGGCGATGGTGCACACCTCCTCGTACTTCGGGCACTTGATCTTGCCGCCGTCCTTGAAATGCGCCGACGTCGGCGTGATAAACTTCCCCTCGGGGCACTCTTGCCACGCGTCGCTGCCGAGGCACTTCACCTTCACTTTGCCCGCCTCGCACTGCACCCCCGCACACGCCGCGTGCACTTCGGTGTAGTCCTTGTCATTGGCGAGGCACCCACCGGCGCAACACATCGTCGCGAGGAGGAGCAGCAGCAGCGGCAGTGCGGCGCGGAGCGGACGGCGCATGGCGTGAGGGAAGTGTCTGTGTTGGTCTGTCGTGGATAGCGGCAGTCGCAAATGCCTTGTCTGCGGGAGGCGGGAAGAAGAGGCGGGAAAGAAGGTGGAGGAGGCAGCCGGAGAGGCCGCGGGAGGGGGAGTGCGAGGGCGAGGCCGCAAGCCACTGCGACGGCCACCGCACCGCCACCTCTGCGCACCGCTCCCGACCCCAACACACACGCAGGGCTCGGCAAGCAGCAAGAACCTACGGAACCCGGCCGATTGAAGCCGAAGCGAAGTTACCCCAGTTACGGAAATGGCCCTTCCCACACACACACACACGCACACGTAAATGTGTGAGTCACCCTCTTCCTGAATGCAGGGCCGCAGCGGGCAGACACAGTGGACGAATCCCCTCGTCATTGCGCCCACACCCCCGAAGCAAAGCACACGCAAAAAAGCAAAGAGACGGGGACAATTCAGGTGCTCCCTCCATCCACGTTTCCCCCCGCACGGGAACCCCTTCCGCCGCGCTGCAGCCAAGTTTCCTCTAACAACAGACAAGGACAGGACCCCCCCACCCCCACCCGACCG